GTCGAGGAGTAACTGTAGTGTTTTCCCTGTTGTAAGGGGAAGGAATATTGTTGGTATATAGAATTCTTTATTGGCCAAGTATGATTGGACACACAAGGAATTTTTCTTTGGTGCATAGGCTCTCAGTATACATAAGAGAATAAAATACATTAATTAAGAATAAAAGAATAGAATAGAATTCTTTATTGGCCAAGTGTGATTGGACACACAAGGAATTTGTCTTTGGTGCATAAGCTCTCAGTATACAGAAGAGAATAAAATACATTAATTAAGAATAAAAGAATAGAATATAATTCTTTATTGGCCAAGTGTGATTGGACACACAAGGGATTTGCCTTTGGTGCATAAGCTCTCAGTATACATAAAAAGGCAAGATACATTCATCACGAATCATAAGGTACAACACTTAATGATACTCATGGGATACAAATAAGCAATCAAATGATACTAGGAAACAATATAAATTGTAAGGACACAAACAACAAAGTTATAGTCATACAGTCATAAGTGGGAGGAGATGGGTGACAGGAATGATGAGAAGATTAATAGTATAGATATATATAACTTCTATAATAATATAAAAGATTGCTTTGCAAAGGAGAGAATGCTAGTCTGCATGAGCTCACAGAAGGACATTCTCTCCCTGGCTCACAATCCTAATCATATTTATAAAGTGTACGACAAGCCCTGGTTTCCTATAGCAGTATTATTTGTTCTTGTTTCAGACAAAATGGATTTGGTAGCTATAATAGACAAAATGATTCTGTAAAAAAAAATGGATCAGCCCTGAACTTCTAAAACTGGCTTTTGGGTAGAAACAGAGCACAAAACAATTATCCAGGGAGAGAAATGAGAGAGAAATTTGCAAGCTGCTCGAGACCAATTTAAAAAAAGAAATCCAGTTTCCTTGAAAACTCCATAAAATGTTTATCTCCTGACAAGAAAGAAATCACGGTTTAAATCTTCTTATTAAATATTTGGCTATTGGTTGTATCCTTTGGATGGTTTTCATCGTTTTAACTGTTTTGTAGTTTTAGAATCGTAAGCCTCCCAGAGTCTCTTGGCTGAGATGGGCGGAGATAAAAATTGAATAAATGAATATATAATTTGTCCTTCGCTGAGCTTGAAGCAGCTCCAGTGTTTCTTGCTTCTCTCCCCTGTTTTATTTATAATTGTGTCTTCTACTTTCAAACGTAGTCATTTTTTACTTCAAAAACAAATGCACATGCTATTTTTACGGGTAAGTTCTTGCTTTAAGTGGCTTGNGCTGCAAGCCCCATTTTCCCCGTTTGCTTCAAGAAGGCAGAGGTCAAAGTGTGGGGGACAGGTGGGTGGGGCTACCGTATATAAGACGCACCCAAATTTTCTCCCTATTTTAGAGGGAGGGGAAAAGTGCGTCTTATACTCTGAAAAATACGGTATGTAACTGAGCTGCAGAGGTGAGTTGCTATCGGTTGGCAACGGTTCGGGAAATGGAAATTGTGACTGGGTGGCCCAACTGGTAGGGATGGCAGGCTGGCCATGCCACCGAACCAGGCGGCATTTTTTTTTTTTTTGGACATTTTTAATGTTCTGCGCGTATGCAGACCTATTTATAGGCAACTTGCGAGCAAATTGCGGGCACACCAAATCGGCAGTAACGCCAGCCGAAACCAACCCCTGCTGAGCTGGCATAACTTGGGTGGGGAGAAGGGGGTTCAGTTTTGAACCAGACATTTGGAAGTCCCAGGTCCAATGCTGCACAACGGATTTTTCTTTTTTTAAAAAAAATCACTTTATACAGGTAGTCCTCAACTTACAACAGTTCATTTAGTGACTGTTTGAAGTTAACAATGGCACTGGGAAAAAAAGTGACATGGGGCCATTCTTCACACAACGGTTGCAGCAGCCCCACAGTCACGCCCCCGTAGTCACGTGATCAAAACCTGGACACTTGGCAACCGATTCGTATTTATGACGGTTTATGACGGTTTATGTGATGTGATCCCTTTTTGCGACCTTCTGACAAGCAAAAGTCGATGGAGAAGCCAGATTCATTGAACAATCGCGTTATTAGCTTGAGAGCCATGGTGGTTCACTTTACAACGGTGGCAAGGAAGGTCGTAAAATGGGGCAAAACTCAATGAATGCCTCACTTAGCAACTGAAAGTTTGGCCTCCATTGTGGTCGTAAGTCAGGGACTACCTGTAATTTGATGAGGATTGCAGCCATGTAGCATGATCAGTGCTAGAAAGGAGTGGGATTTGCAGAGTGGGAGGAGGAGGAGGAATGGAGGAGGGGTCCTTGGTGCTCTCTGAGCTTGGTGGTTTTCCTTGCAGGCGTTTCATGGCCCAGCTAGGGAAAATCATCAGTGCTAGAAGGGAGTGGAGTTTGCTCTCTCTTCATGCACAAGTGGCTTGCTCTGTCGTTGTTGTCGTTGGGTATGTCTTGTCTTGGTATTTCCTCGATTAGGATGTGGTTAATCATTTGATTGTTTGTCTCAGTGGGGAGTTCCTGGATTGAGGTATTGTTTACTGCTTGATAGTCTGGTCTTAATCTCTGTTTATCCTGCGATTGTTAGCAAGGAGACTCTTTTAATCTTTCTGTTTCCTTGTTAGAATTGCAGTTTCTTTCTTAAATGAGGTGTGAACTTGACTCACATCCGCCTTCTAATGGCTGACACCGAAAAAGGAAAAGGAACCAAGAAGGGGAAGATTATATATATATGTTTTCTGAGGTTTTCGCGGGTGTTAGTATGTAGGTCTTTGGTTATTCGGGTTTTCTCCTGCATAAAATTGGAAGTGTCTTTGGCGACGTTTCGACGAAGTCTCATTCGTCATCTTCAGGCTTAAAAGGAAGAAACAGCCGAGATCTCACATTGCTCCTGGAAGCACGAAGCCTGAAGATGACGAATGAGCCTTCGTCAAAACATCGCCAAGACACCTCCAATTTTACGCGGGAGAAAACCTGAATAACCAAAGACATACACAGAGAGAGGAGAGAGAGGAGAGAGAGGGAGGAGAGAGAGAGAGAGAGAGAACACTGCCTTCCCATCAACACTGATGGTGTTACCTAGTTTGGTTAGGAAATGTCTGCAAGAAAACAATTGGTCTGGAATGGTATAGGATCACCTGCCTGAGGAGGGAGTTGGACTAAA